GTGGGAATCCGATGGTAAACACAACAGGTCCTCTGGAACTGACAGGCCAGGATGGCCAAGATCAAGAAAGGAGGCCGGGCGCCGTGGCTCACGCCTGTAATCCCAGCACTTTGGGAGGCTGAGGCGGGTGAATTGCCTGAGGTCAGGAGTACAAGACCAGCCTGGCCAACGTGGTGAAACCCCATCTCTACTAAAATACAAAAATTAGCTGGGCGTGGTGGCACGTACGTGTAATCCCAGCTACTCGGGAGGCTGAGGCAGGAGAATTGCTTGAACCCAGGAGCGGAGGTTGCAGTGAGCCGAGATCGCGCCTCTGTACTCCAGTCTGGGCAACAGAGTGAGACTCCATCTCCAAAAAAATAATAAAGGAATAAACGTAAACAAAAGCAAACTATCCCATATCCTGCAGAGGCACAGCAGGCACCAAGGCCGTGGGCCAGGAAGCAGCCTGGCTGTTGAGGGAAGCTGCGTAGTGGGGAAGGTGGCTTTGGGAGTGAGGTGGGAAGGAGGCCGGGTGACCGGAGTTTGAATGGGATTTTGAACGCAGGCGGATGGCACCTGAGTTGTGTTCCCAGGATCCAGGGCTGCGGTCAAGGAACAGATGGGTGTGAGGTGCGCTTGGGGATCAGCTGGGAGTGGGGGGTGTCTGTTGGGGTCTAGGGAGCCATGAGGAAGTCTCGGCCCTGGGGGGGTGAAAAGAAGGCTTGGTTTCTGGGGTGACACGGGGATCAATCGAACAGGTCTGTGGCTGGATGGGACATGGGAGGAAGAGGAAGGACAGGGGGGGACCCCTGGTTCAAGGCCCCCGAGCAAAGAAGTGGGAAGAATGGAGAGACAAAAAAAAGTTTTGGGGGTGAGTCAAATGTTCTATGTTGCATGCCTGCCCTTTGGGGAATGAGAGCAGGCAGGCGCCTTGGGGGTCAGAGGCTCGGAAGAGCGTGGAGGGACTGGAGGGACAGTCCCGGAGGGCGCTGGCTTCAAGAGGGTTTTGAATCCATGCGATTGATTAGAAGACCTAGGGAGGAAAGGGAAGGCAGGAAGGGCCGTTCCATGGGGCGGGGTGACCTTGACCTTGTGGAGGGAGGGACCAGACTGGGCGGACTGGAGGGAGCGTGGGTTGGAGGAAGTGAAGATGCGGAGGAGGGGGCGGCTGCAGGGGCATGGAATGCGGGCATCAAGGGAGGGGATGGGATTGTCTGAGGGCAGACAGGACAGCCTGGCGGAGGGGTCCTGCGGCAGTGAGCCCTCTGGGAGGTGGGCCTGGCACGAGGCAGCGCTGGCAGGAGGGGCCCTTGTGCTCAGTGACCTGAGGGAGGGAGGACAAGGTGCGGGCAGGTGGTGGAGGTGCCCGGCTCGGTGGGGAGGACAGCTGCTGGAGGGGGAGTGTGGGCAGCGGGGAAGACGGGGAAGGGGGGGTCCACTTCCAAAGCAGCCGCTGAGTGGCTGGGCCCACAGAGCCCCCCGTGGGGGAGGTAAAACATTTAGAGGCCGTCTTCTGCTTGGTAGGATTTCCTCCAGTGATTTATAGCCCCTGGGACCAACCAGAGAAATGGTGGCCACTTCCTGGAGCTTTCCTGTGCTCCCCTCTGCTTGGTCAGGCCCCAGGACCTCACCTTGGTGAAGGTGAGGATGCTTGATAAATATTTATGAACTGACTTATCGGCATTCGAGCTGCCTCTCCTCCCTGGCCTGTTCTTTGCCCTCGGTAGGAGGTACCGGCTGCCAGGAGCTCAGCCCTTTGCCACATGCCAGGCTGGCCCGGTCCACTTCCTGTGAAACACAGCAGGTAGCTTCCCACAGCTTCACTATACGGAAGAGGACAGCAGAGGCTTGGAAATGCTGCAGCTCTGTCCAGATACCAGCGTCCCTGACCCCAGCAAAGAAAGGGGTCTTCAGATGGGAGCCCTCAGCCTGCTCCTCGAGTCCTGCTGGGGCCATGTGCCAGTGGGGAGGCTGGCTTCTCAAAAAGGGGGGCAGGGCATGGGCTGTGAGCAGCGAGGGACGCTGGTGATGGGGGGCCAGCAGGGGGTACCCTTGGCCTCTTAGAAAGTGGGCACATGGCACACTCATGAGAAGTGTCTGGTGAAAGCATTCTTTTTATTTTTTTGAGACGGACTCTCTGTCTCCAGGCACGATCTCAGCTTACTGCAACCTCCACCTCCTGGGTTCAAGTGATCTCCTGCTGCAGCCTCCTGAGTAGCTAGGATTACAGGCAGGCACCACCGTGCCTGGCTAATTTTTGTATTTTTAGTAGAGACAGGGTTTCATCATGTTGGCCAGGCTGGTCTCGAACGCCTGATCTTGTAATCTGTTCGCCTCAACCTCCCAAAGTGCTGGGATTACAGGCATGAGCCACCGTGCCCAGCTTTTTTTTTTTTTTTTTTTTTTTTTTTTTTTTTTTTTTTTCTGAGACAGAGTTTCACTCTTGTTGCCCAGGCTGGAGTGCAAGGGTACGATCTTGGCTCACCACACTCTTCGCCTCCCAGCTTCAGGTGATTCTCCTGCCTCAACCTCCTGAGTGGACTGGACTACAGGCACGTGCCCACCACGTCCGGCTAATTTTGTATTTTTAGTAGAGGTGGTGTTTCTCCATGTTGGTCAGGCTGGTCTCAAACTCCCAACCTCAGGTGATCCACTCACCTCAGCCTCCCCAAGTGCTGGAATTACAGGCTTGAGCCACTGTGCCCGGCCAGGTAAACTTTTTTTTTTTTTTGGTGCAGTCTTGCTGTGTCGCCCAGGCTGGTGTGATCTCAGCTCACTGCAACCTCCGCCTCCTGGGTTCAAGCAATTCTCCTGTCTCAGCCTCCTGAGTAGCTGGAACTACAGGTGCCTACCATCATGCCCAGCTATTTTTTGTATTATTAGTAGAGACAGGGTTTCACTGTGTTGGCCAGGTTGGTCTGGAACTCCTGACCTCGTGATCCATCCACCTTGGCTTCCCAAAGTGCTGGGATTACAGGCGTGAGCCACTGCACCTGGCCAGGTGAAAGCATTGTCAGTTTGGTTATGGTGCCCCTGGGATGAAGCCTGTCCTCGCCCCCCGCCCCCCCGCCTTCACTCCACAAACAATTTTATTCTCCTATGACCTCATATGTGCTGTTGCCACCAAACACCCTTTCCGGCCCTGCCTTCTTCCCACTCCTCTTCCGAGTCTCCCTTCAGCATCCGCCACCACCTGCCTGGCCAGGGTTCCAGGGAACTCCTCTCCCAGCCCCTGAGTGTCTCATAGCACATCTCAGAATTAGAATTGCTTCACTGAAGCACCTGGCCAGCCTCCGTCTCCCTGGCTGGGTTGTAGATTCACGAGGGCCAGGGCCAGGTCAGCCCAGCCTGCACTCAGTGCAAGACCTACTCAGGCCCAAACATGTTTATGGAAGAGGGGAGAAGGAGCTGCCACTTCTCCCCACTTCTGTAAGTGGCTCTGGCTCGGGCAGCTGTTGAAGCTGACCAGGGATGGTCCTAGCACTCCTCCCCCCGCCCCTTTTTTTTGAGATGGGGTCTCGCTATGTCACCAGGCTGGAATGCAATGGCACGATCTTGGCTCGCTGCAATCTCTGCCTCCTGGGTTCAAGCCATTCTCCTTCCTCAGCCTCCTGAGTAGCTGGGACTACAGGTGCATGCCACCACGCCGGGCTAATTTTTGTATTTTTAGAGAGATGGGGTTTCACCATGTTGACCAGGATGGTCTCGACCTCTTGACCTTGTGATCCACCCACCTTGGCCTCCCAAAGTGCTGGGACTTCGGGTGTGAGCCACTGTGCCTGGTCGTGGCTTAGCCTTTTCTGATGACCCCAGCTTCGCATCCAGCAGGCTCTCTGGACTGGGCCCCTCACATGAGTTCTGTCATCTTATTCTCTCAGTGTCCTTGGGCTGTTATCACCACTGTCAGCAGTGGACAGATGAGGAGATAGAGGCCTTGATGGTGAAGTGACTCTGGCCGGGAAAAGGGCATTTGTGGGGGGACCTACCTGTCTCTTAAGTGCCTGCCCCTCACTGCCAGATACATAGAAGCTTCCAGGAGTCAATCTTTCCTTTCTCGCCACCTCCTTGAATTGCCCTCCCACCTCTATATACTTCTTGATGCTTTTTGAGTTTCTTAACTGTAGTTTTTGCTGTTTGCAATGGAGGCTGCTCCATCCTCGGAGCCTGTGGTCCAGGGTGCAAGGCTGGGCTGAGAGCCTGGGTGTGCAGGCGGCCTCGGGGCCAGCAGGGGGAGCCCACGAGCTGCGAGCCTGGTCGGTGCCGGCGCTTCCCAGCCGGTTCTGGGTTTCTGTGCCTGGTGCCATCCCCAAGGGAAGGCTGGGCCCATGGGGCGGTGCCTGGGCAGGGGGATGTGACCAGGGTGGATCCAGAGTCCATGAGTGGGTGGGAGGGCCTGACTCCTCACTCGAGTCCCTGCTGTGTGAGGGTGGCCACCCAACCTCCCTGAGCCCCGGTTTCCTCACCTGTAAAATGGGGATGATTCCAGCCGCCTTGGCCACACTGGGAGCCCTCAGCTGCTGCTGGGGGGATGTTGGGGACAGGTGCCAGGTCCGCTTGGTCCTGCAGCTCCTGGAGGAGGACAGCGTCCCGCTGCCTGCATGCAGTGACAATGAGGCAGAACTGACTGTCAGTGGGACTGACAGATAATGCCACTGGCTGTCACAGGCGGATAATGTCACAGGCTGCCAACTGGCCTGGCCTTAGCGTATGGGAGGAAGCTCCACGCTGGGACCCAGAGAGATGTGGACTCTGCTGAATTCTGAACCCAGGTCTGCAATGCCTGAGCCAGTCCCTCAGCCTCCCCAGGCCTCAGTTTCCCTCTCTGAACAAAGAAAACAGGACAAGATGTTCTAGGGGCCTCTGAGGCTCCCCCAGCAGGCCCACCCTGTGTGCCCAGGGGAGGATGGACAGGAAGGGCTGGTTTGCATTCTAGGATGAGGCAAGAGGGGACACCTTGGGGTGGGAGCACACGGCCCGCTCCTCTCCCCCGGCCCTGATCCTCCTTTCTGATCCTGCAGCCTTTCTGAAGGGCCTGAGTGACAAGCAGCGGGAGGAACATTACTTCTGCAAGGACTTTGTGAGATTGAAGAAGATCCCTACATGGAAGGAGATGGCGAAAGGTAAGCTCTGCTCAGGGAGGCCCTGCTGGGCGTGCCCTAGACCCGCGGCCTGGGAGAATCGTGCGGATGAGAGGAGGGATTCTGGCGGCACGTATCGGGTGCTTGCTGTGCGCAGGCGCTGTGTGTGTGTCACTTCATTCAGTTGTTTGATTTTTTGAGACAGAGTTTCACTCTTTTTGCCCAGTTTGGAGTGTAATGGTGCGATCTCAGCTCACTGCAGCCTCTGCCTCCTGGGTTCAAGTATTCTTCTGCCTCAGCCTCCTGAGTAGCTGAGATTACAGGCACCTACCACCATGCCTGGCTAATTTTGTGCTTTTAGTAGAGATGGGCCAGGCTGGTCTTGAACTCCTGACCTCAAGTAATCTGCCCACCTCGGCCTCCCAAAGTGCTGGGATTATAGGCATGAACCACTGCACCTGGCCACCTCATTCAATTATTTATTTATTTGTTTATTTATTTATATTTTTTGAGATGGAGTCTTTGTTGCTGAGACTGGAGTGCAGTGGCGTAATCTCCACTCACTGTAACCTCCGCCTACTGGTTTCAAGCAATTCTCCTGCCTCAGCCTCCCAAGTAGCTGAGATTACAAGGCATGCACCACCATGCCCAACTAATTTTTGTATGTTTAGTAGAGATGGGGTTTCAGGCATGAGCCGCCGTGCCTGGCTTTTTTTTTTTTTTTTTTTTTTTTTTTTTTTTGTGGCCAGGCTGGTCTTGAACTCCTGACCTCAAATGATCTGCCCAACTCAGCCTCCTAAACTGCTGAGATTACAGGCGTGAGCCACGGTGCCCGGCCACCCCGTTCAATTATTAACACAGCCTGAGGCAAGTGGAACTTTTATCCCCATCATATGGTAGGAAACAGAGCCCTGGGTCAGGTGAGCCACCTGCCGGACACTCCTTGCTTGTGGAGAGCTGGGGTGTGAAGCTGAGGTTTGGTTGCTTACAGTGGGGTGTGTTGGTGAGACAGTGGGCTTGGTGACCCGTCGCCCTGGGCAAGTCCCTGACCCACCTGAGCCTCAGTTCCCACCTCCGTGAAATGGGATGGATGAGATTAGCGCTGTACCTGCTGGTGGCCTTGCTGTGAAGATGCAGGGAGTCCCCTCATGGTGCTGGCATGCAGTAGGTGCCCCTCAGCCTGGCTTCCTGGTACCGGGTCAGCAGTCGTGGCACTGCAGCTGCCTCTGGAGGTGGAGGGAGGTCGATGGGGAAGGCCCTGGGCCCTGACTGGGTCCCTCTGCAGTGGCCAGCCTCGCTGTGACCTCTCTGGTCCCTGCTTGTTCCAGGGGTGACCGTGAAGGTGGAAGAGCCCAAGTATAAAAAGGACAAGCAGCTCAACGAGAAGATCTCCCTGCTCCGCGGTGACATCACCAAGCTGGAGGTGGATGCCATCGTCAACGCCGGTGAGTGGCTGGCCTGAGCCAGAGCTCTGGTGGCCGCCCCGTCGCCTTTGCTCCCCGCTGTGCTATGCCAGGCCTGGGTAGATGCCACCTGGCTCCAGCGAGGCTCGGGCTGCCGGCGAGGACGGCCTGCTGGTGCCGCGGGAGCCTAGCGTGTTGGCCACTCGGCTCCTCTTCCCCTGAAACCCTGACCTGCTGTGTCGGGGGCGCCTTGCTCCACGGAGACCCATTAGTGGCGGGGAAAGTGGGAGAGCTCAGCTAGAACTGGGCTGCCCTGCCAGGGAGGCGGTGGCCAGAGCAGGGAGGTCTGACCTTGGCGGGCCGCAGATGCCCCTACCACTGCCTGCCTTCCTCTGTCTTTGGCTTGCCCTGCCGGCCTTCAGGCCTGGGCAGGTGAGGGAGCTCGTTGAGGGGACAGTGGGGGCAGAGAGGTCCCCTGCGGCACCCTGGCAACTTTCCAGCGCCTGGAAACGGGAGCCGCTCCGCTTCTTGCGCTCGCGTCTTGCTGGCCTGGCAGTTTATCGTGCTGAGTGTGGGAGCCATGAGTGTGGGAGCCGGCTCCTCTTTGTCGGGGCAGGAAGGGGCTGCTCCTTGTGCAGGCGGCGGTTGTCTGGCAAGGTCGAAAGGCGCCGGGAAAGGACTTTGGCGTGCGGTGCCAGGGACCGGTTAGGTCCAGCAGGTGGCTTGTGGAACAGATCGACTGGCGGCCGAACCCCAACCCCAGCCTGCCTGCTTCTCGCTCCTTTGCTTACCTAGTATCAGCACCTGGCATCGGAGGAAGGGAGGCCTCTTTCTCAGGCCCTGAATGTAGGGGCGGACCCTCTCATCCTGGACTCCAGCTCACAGGGAGAATCCTGCCTGCCAGCCCCTTCCCAACCTACGCAGGCCCGGGTCACCCTCAGAGCTTCTCTAGTGTCCTTCATCCCCACTTTGGGCTTGTAGCGGTGGCGCCTGGCCCCAGCGCTGTCCCCCAGTGACTGTGGGGTGTGGTGGTATGGATGCTGTGAGCGTTTCCATTGATCTCTGTGAGTGACGGGCTCTGGGATCCGGAAAGGGGAGGTCACTCGGCCCCGGGCCTGGTCCACGGGGTCTGAGTTGTGTTTCCTGAAGCAGCTGGTGACGGCAAAGCTGGATAGTCATATGGGGGTGCCTTGCCCACACATCGCCTATCTAGGCACACAGATGACAGGTCACATGTCGGCAGGAGTTACTGCTCAGAGTGTCTGGCTGAGGGGGGCAGAGGGAGCTGGGGTCACCTTGGGCTCCTGCAGGTGGTTCTGGTGTCTTTCTCTGGGGCCACTGGGACGAGGACTGCTAGTCTGTCTGGGGACACATGGCTAAGACAAAGCCACATCTGGGTTGGCAGATGTTACAGAGACAGGGGAGCAGGGTGTTCTTGCTGCCTGTACCCAGGGGACGGGCTGGCCTGCAGCGGGAGGACAGAGCCTTGGGGCTGTGGCTGAGGGGGCAGTCAGGCAGGCCACTGGGTACCCCAGCCCTGCCAGTCACTGGCAAGCGTGCGAGAGGTGCCAACGGGATCTTCTTGCTGAGCTGCAAAGTGGTCAGAGGGAAAATGAGGCATCCTGTGAGCTGTGTGCCCCCTGGACTGGTGGTTGGATGGAACATGGGCCGGGAGAAAGGGTGCAGGGACCAGGGTGGGGTGACAGCAGATGCAGATGGAATGGGGGCACTCTGGAGGCTGCACCCAGACTGCGGTGTGATTAATGCCTCTTCTTAAGTGCCCTTGCGAGGTGCCAGGCTTTGGATGTGGCAGCTCCGTCAGAAGTGTGTTAGTGCCGGCTCCATTCGCGGCGGGGCCAGGGTTGTGGCAGCCCTGGCCCAGTTTCTCTGGGAACTCCCCTTCTCTGTGCCCTTGCCTTGGCCTGTTTCCTCCTCTGCACAGCGCGGGTGGCGAGGAAACCACCTGTCAGGTTGCTGGGGTCACTCAGAGCTGATGCCCGTGACGTGCGCGTGACAGCCACTCAGCACCTGGTGGGAATCAGGGCCTGGCACCTCGCGTTGGTGCTGAAACTGGTGTCCTCAGCGCCATCTGGGCATCACCCCTGTCCTGGGGGTGCCGAGGGACGTGGCACCTCCTGCAGATGATCAGCTTTTGCCTCCCCCTGCTTACCTCAGTTTACCCACACACCTCTTGATGTGTTTTCCTGGGATCTTTTTATTTCTAGAAGGACCCAGCGAGGGTCCTCAGAAGCCTGTACAACCAGGAGAACCCAGTACCTGCCTGGAATCCCAGGGAATGGCGGAGGCAGAGTCTGGACACAGGCTTCCCACACAGAGCCGGAGTCTCCTCCGGGCCGTCCAGGGCTTTGTGGAGCCCCAGCGTTCAAAGTGGCCTCGGCACTGGTCAGGCCCCCGGGGTCCTGGGTGCCTTGGCTCCCACCCCAGCCTCTTCGCCCACCAGGGGGCAGCAGAGATCGCAGTTCCTGGGAGCCCATAAATCAGCCTGTTTATTAGTGGAATAAATGTCGCCGGCAACGGCAGGGCTTTTCGGGGTTGCATAAATCTGCGTCTGTGCCTCGTGAAACCCATATGTGCTTAATTCATATGTAAAGTTTCAAGCAGGAAGAGAATACGTGTCCATTAAATTCTATTTGACTTGATTATAATCATTAGCCGTGAATAATTGCTTCTCAGTGCCTACCACGAGCCACCACAATAAGCCAGAGGAGAGAGCAATTATCTTGGGGTGGAGATTTTTAAATTTATATTTTTGAAGCCCTGGGCAGTGCTGGCCCCGCAGGCATCAGTGGCCCATGGAGAACGTGGAGGGTCGTCCTGGACTGGGAACTTGAGGCCTGGCAGCCGGAGCTTCTGGATTTTGTTGGGGAGGAGGGGATTCTCTTTGTTCCTGCTGCCATATGGGAGGGGCTGTCACTGCCTGGGCATGGGTCCAGCTGCAGGGATGTGGAGGGGAAGGGTGCAGGGGGAGCTGGGAGAGGGCTGTGAGGAAAAGGAGGCGGTGGGGGGCTCCCAACTCCCTACCCTCCTCCATCCTGAAAAGCTGTGGGCTTGAAGGAGTCTCCAGCCAGGCTGTGGGCATCCCTCCTGCCACTCAGCAGGGCTCTGGGGGCTCCTGGAGAGGGTGGGCGCCAGATGTCCCCTTCCTGCCCCCCTCACTCCTTCCTCTCCCTGAAGAAGCATCTGCCTACGACCTCCCTCAGGCCTTTGAGAATTGGACTCTGGGCTGGGTGCAGGAGCTCATTCCTGTAATCCCAGCACCATGGGAGGCCAAGGTGAGAGGATCCACTTGAGCTCAGAATTTGAGACCAGCCTGGCCAGCATAATGAGACCCTATCTCTACAAAAAAATTTTTTTTTTAATGAGCCAGGCATGGTATGTGCCTATAGTCCCAGCTACTCAGCAGGCTGAAGCAGGAGGATTACTTCAGCTGCCACTGCATTCCAGCCTGGGTGACAAAGTGAGACCTTATCTCAAAAAATAGAAAATAGAACATCAGACTCTGGGCGGGGCATGGTGTCTCTGCCCGTAATCCCAGAACTTCAGGAGGCCGAGGCCGGCAGATCACTTGGGGTCAGGAGTTTCGAGACTAGCCTGGCCAACATGATGAAATCCCATCTCTCTGCTAAAAATGCAAAAATTAGCCAGGCGTGGTGGCACATGCCTGTAATCTAGCTGCTTGGGAGGCTGAGGCAGGAGAAACACTTGAACCCAGGAGGCTGAGACAGGAGGATTGCTGGAACCTGGGGGGTCCAGGCTGGAGTGAGCCATGATTGTGCTACTGCCCTCCAGCCTGGACAACAGAGCGAGACTCTGTCTCAGAAAAAAAAAGAAAATCAGACTCTGAGGCCGCATGCGGTGGTCACTGCTGTAGTCCCAGCACTTTGAGAGGCCGAGGCGGGAAGATTGCTTGAGCACAGTTTTGAGACCAGCTTGAGCAACACAGTGGCACCCTACTGCTACAAAAAATAAAATTGGTTGGTGTGGTAATGCACGCCTGTAGTCCCAGCTACTTGGGAGGCCTAGATGGGAGGATCACTTGAGCTGGGAGGTTGAGGCCGCATTGAGCTGTGGTTGTGCCACTGCACTCCAGCCTGGGTAACAGAGTGAGACTTGTCTCAAAAAAACAAATAAAAATAAGAAAATCAGACTCTGGTTCCTTACTGATATCCTGACATTTGAAATTCAGGAGTGGTTTCCACTCTTACATTATCCGGCTATGTGAAATGTGATTGAGGTGTGTGTGAGGTCAGGAGTTCTACCTGTGTGGGGGGGGTGTGTATGCATTTGTGTGATGTGTGATGCCTGTGTGTGTGAGGTAGCGTGTTCGTGTCTGTGCTTGTGTGCTGCATGGGGTGTGTGTGATTTGGGGTGTGTGATACAGTGTGTGTGTGGTGTGATGTGTGTTTGTATAGGATGCGGTGGGAGGTTGGCAGGAGCATAGAAGTGGGGATGCCTGGCTGGTAAGTGGCAGGGCTTCAGGTCACAGGGAAGGGACAAAACCCCCCACCCAAGGGCACAGTGCAGGCCTCCCTTGGCCCTGGCCCCATGGGCTCCCAGCCAAGGCCACGTGCTCGGGCAGCACCCGCGAGAGTCTCAGGCTCTTGCCATCTGTGCCGGCCGCGGCTCCTGCCCACAGGAGCATGGCGCATCCATCTTAAATGAAATTGGGCTGCCTCGTGCAGGAGATGAGCCGGGGAGCCCTCACAGGCCCCCTCTTCTGGAGGAGGAGGTTCTCGGAGCCAGTGCCGGCCTCTCCAGCTTGGCCTCTGACCTCAGGCCTTCGTCTGGAAAGAGCTCCAGTCTGGGGGTCTCACCTAGGGGGTGCTGAGGCTTCCAGAGCGTTTACAGCATCTTTTTGCCACAGGGGTGCAGTGACCTTGAGTGGGCCACCTCCCTGCCCTTGAGTTTCCTGGTGCACCGGACCCCTTGTTCCTGACAGCAGAGTCCCGGCCAGGAAACGTCCGGGCACAAAGAAAGACCCCTAGTCTTGGCTGGGCGCGGTGGCTCATGCCTGTAATCCC